TCCACTTCATTATTATAACATGTCAGAATCAGAATCAGAATCAGAATCATTTTTATTGCCACGTAAGTAACAGGAGGTCACAGACTAGGAAATTGCTTTGGCTCAGTGCAACAGTCAAAAAGAGATAATAAAAATAAGAATAAAAAACACTTCTAAAGAATAAATTTAAATTTAAAATAGAGTTACAGTTACTTTTTACAATATACAAGTGCACATGGTGCACACAATGTAAGGTGACAGCAGTACAGTGAAGTAAAGTGACGTATGATGGGCAGTGAAGTGACTTTATAAAGGGCGGGGGGACAGGTTAAGAAGTGTTCAAGAGTCCAACAGCAGAGGGGAAGAAACTGTTCTTGTGGCGGGAGGTTCTAGTCCTGATGGACCGCAGCCTCCTGCCTGAGGGGAGTGGTTGGAATAGTCCATGTGCAGGGTGAGAGGGGAGTGGTTGGAATAGTCCATGTGCAGGTGAGAGGGGAGTGGTTGGAATAGTCCATGTGCAGGTGAGAGGGGAGTGGTTGGAATAGTCCATGTGCAGGTGAGAGGGGAGTGGTTGGAATAGTCCATGTGCAGGTGAGAGGGGAGTGGTTGGAATAGTCCATGTGCAGGGTGAGAGGGGTCGGCTGTGATACGACCAGCCCGGCCTCGAGCTCGGGCGACGTACAGGTCCTGCAGCGATGGAAGGCTGCGGCCGATCACTTCCTCTGCAGAGCGCACAATGCGCTGTAGTCCCTGTTTGTCCCTGACTCTGGCTCCAGCGAACCACACGGTGACGGAGGAGGTGATGGAGGAGTTGATGGAGGAGGTGACGGAGGAGGTGAGGATGGACTCGATGATGGCCGTGTAGAACTGCACCAACATCTGTGCAGGCAGCTTGGCTTTCCTGAGCTGCCGCAGGAAGTACATCCTCTGCTGGGCCTTCTTGATGAGGGAGCTGATGGTCGGCTCCCACTTGAGGTCCTGGGTGATGGTGGTGCCCAGGAAACGGAAGGACTCCACAGAGGTGATGGGGGAGTCCATCACGGGGGGTGGGGGTGGGGGGATAGTGCTCTTCCTGAAGTCCACAATCATCTCCACTGTCTTCTGGGCGTTCAGCTCCAGGTTGTTACCACTGCACCAGGACACCAGCCGGTCCACCTCCCTCCTGTAGGCGGACTCATCGTTGTTGGAGATGAGTCCAATGAGGGTGGTGTCGTCCGCGAACTTGATCAGCTTCACGGAGTCGTGGCTGGAGGTGCAGTGGTTGGTGTACAGGGAGAAGAGCAGGGGAGAAAGAACACAGCCCTGTGGGGCTCCTGTATTTATAATCCGAGAGTCCGAGACATTCTTCCCCAGACGCACTCGCTGCTTCTTGTCCGTCAGGAAGTCAGTGATCCACCTGCAGGTGGAATCGGGCACGTTGAGCTGGGAGAGCTTGTCCTGGAGCAGGGATGGCAGGATTGTGTTGAAGGCAGAGCTGAAGTCCACGAACAGGACCCTGGCGTAGGTCCCCGGGGAGTCCAGGTGCTGTAGGATGTGGTGGAGGGCCAGGTTAATGGCGTCGTCTACAGATCTGTTGGCTCTGTAGGCGAACTGCAGGGGGTCCAGGAGGGGGGAGGTGAAGGACTTGAGATGGGAGAGAACCAGGCGTTCAAATGACTTCATGACGACAGACGTAAGTGCTACAGGTCTGTAGTCATTGAGTCCTGTGATCCTGGGCTTCTTCGGGACGGGGACAATGATGGAGGATTTGAAGCAGGCCGGGACATGGCAGGACTGCAGAGAGGTGTTGAAAATGTCAGTGAACACAGGAGTAAGCTCACTGGCGCAGTGTCTCAGAGTGGCCGGAGACACGTGGTCCGGGCCAGGAGCTTTGCGGGGGTGCAGCCTTAGGAAGAGTTGTTTAATCTCTTTAGAGGCTATTGTTAGGCTGGGGGCAGGGCTGATGGGTGGGTCGTTAGAGTAGTGGGGGGTGGGGGAGGGAGAGGGGTCAGGGGCAGCATCAAAGCGACTGAAAAATAAGTTCAGATCGTCAGCTAGCTTGTGGTCGTCAGCACAGGGGGGGGCTTTGGGTTTGTAGTTGGTGATCTCCCGTAGGCCCCTCCAGACAGAAGCAGTATCGTTGTTACCAAACTGCTCCTGTAGTCGTTCTCTGTGCCGGGATTTGGCTGCTTTCAGTTCTTTCCTGAACTGATATTTAGCTGCTTTGTAGCCGCTGCGGTCCCCCTCCCTGAAAGCAGACTCCTTTGCTTTCCTGAGCTGCCGGAGTTTAGCAGTGAACCAGGGTTTGTCGTTGTTATAGATGACCCTGGTCCTTGTTGGAATGATGCTATCCTCACAGAAGTGAATGTATGACGTCACAGTGTCCGTATATTCATCCAAACTATCTGTGGCAGCTCTGAAAAGGTCCCAGTCTGTAGATTCCATGCATGCGCGCAGCTCTTCCACAGCTTCATCAGACCACACTTTGGAGCTCCTCACTGCAGGTTTCGAGAGCTTTAGTCTCTGTCTGTAAGCAGGAACCAGATGTATCATGGAGTGATCTGAGAAGCCGAGGGCTGGCTTGGGAACAGCGCGAAAAGCTCCGCGCACGGTGGTGTAACAGTGATCCAGAGTGTTCTCCTCTCTGGTCGGGCATTTGATAAACTGTCTGTATTTGGGTAATTCCTGGCTCAAGTTTCCCTTATTAAAATCCCCCAGGATAATAATCAGAGAGTCCGGGTATAAGCGTTCCATACACAGTACTTGCTCTGCGAGTGCGCGCTGAGTCTCGCGCGCGTCCGCGCATGGCGGTATGTAAACAGAGGCAAGAATGAATGAAACAATTTCGCGCGGGGAGTAATATGGTTTACAATGAATGAAAAGATATTCCAGAGCAGGAGAGCAGTGCTTGGAGATCACTGTCACATCGTTACACCAGTTTGTATTGACGTAGAAACACAGCCCTCCGCCTCTGCTCTTCCCTGAGAGCGCACAATGGCGATCCGTGTGGAACAGTTCAAAGCCCTGCAGCTCCAGAGCGCAGTCCGGGATCCGCTCATTTAGCCAGGTCTCAGTGAAGCAGAGGACACAGGATGTGGCGAAGTCCTTGTTTCTTCTCATGAGCAGGCTGAGTTCGTCCATCTTATTGCCCAGTGAGCGTACGTTGGAGAGAAAAATGCCGGGGAGAGCTGTGCGCGCTCCTCTCCTCCTAAGACGCACGAGCAGGCCTCTGGCTTTCCCCTTTTACGGGCCCACACTTTTTTGGCTAGAACATGAACTAAATCAGCCGCAGATGCCAAGAAAACAGGCAATAGGTCCATGGGAACGGTGGGTCGGATGTTCATAAGTTCCTCACGGGTGTAGGAACAGCCAGATGCACAGTTAAAAAGTAAAAACAAAAGAAAAAGAGAGCAGCAAAGAGCCATGTCGACCGTACGAGGCGCCATCTTTGTTTTCACACCAATAATAATAATAATAATAATAATCAGTTCAATTCATTTTAGCATAGAACTAAATCACAACAGTTGTCATCTCGGACGAGTTTATTAAGTTGTTGATTCTCCAACACAGATCAGAGAATGATCAGTTCAAATACACGGAAATGTGTTATGACATAAAACAACAAGGACCCAAAAGCAGAACGACAGAATTATAGAATCTAATGAATGCCACAAGAAAAAGAAAAACTAAAACCAACGACAAGACATGGGGGAAAAAACAACAATGTACCGACATCAAGAGCACAGGGTGTAAGTACACACAGGAGAGGGCGGGGCAACACATCAGGGCGGGGCAATACATCAGGGCGGGGCAACACATCAGGGCGGGGCAACACATCAGGGCGGGGCAACACATCAGGGCGGGGCAACACATCAGGGCGGGGCAAATAATCCACATCACAGACAGGAAGTAAAACTCAAACAACAAGAGATCAAAACAAACACAGAGGGAGTCCTTGGTCCAGAGGAAGCGGACGACCGATGTCCATAAAAATTAATAAACAATGATTTAGAGGTTGGTTGGTGTCAAAAACAACTTTGTTTTAGAAGATTTAGAGAACAGAAAAAGACAGGTAAATATTGTCAGTAAAATAGTAATATGTAAAATTTTCATGTCAAGTCATCATTAAATGGCCCTAATCTGTTAAAAGGCATTAATAAAACATGTTCTTTCAAATACTTCTTTAACTGATAACAGTAGTTCAGAGATATTTGAATTTCTAAATTACTTTTCCAGCCTCTAAATCTTGTTATTGTTTTCATTTCGATGTCCCGCCCTCCACCGTTTCACCAATCAGAAAGTCTGTGATCCGGGCGCCAGAACTCACCGCGTGGAGCTAATCTCACTGGTAAAGTACCATGTGGCGCAGAACTAAAAAAGGTCTCGTTATGATTCTCAAATCATTAACGACAAAACAAGGAATAAAACCAGGATTTCTATCTTTGTGAAAAAGGTGTTGGTTATAGATTTGTTGTTGACTAAACTCTTGTCTATTCAGCTGTTATGGTCCCAGCTGGATTCGTCTGCATATCTGGCAACCTGAGTCAGGGAGAGTGGGAGAGGCTGCAGTACCACTGTTGGACACATGTTTACATACGGCTCCTTTAAAGCTCATTATAAATGTAATATTTGAGCATAATTGACTTGATTAGTATTATTGACAAAAAATGTGCATAATTCCAAATACATAGGTCATTTTAGCTTCTGGACCCCCAACCCTCCTGTAGCATCGCCATGGAGACAGGAGCTGTATATACTTGCACACTTTATAGCTCTGTTAGTCAATTATCCCAGTGATGGGGTTCCTGGAGCTAAGTGCAGCTCGTGGCCAGTTGTGTTTCAAAACGTAATGAGTTAGCGCACATGCTAATCCAGCTTCCCGGGGCAAACACAGCCTCTTAATGTTCCCATTTGTAAGAATTAACGATTTGAACAAACTACTGCTGGAGTGTTTACAACTTACTATAGGAGAGGAGTTAAACAGGCAGAATGGATGGTGGACGGTATGGTACTGTCAGCCGTACACTTAGGATCAGTGATGAACTGAGCCCCGATACTTTGGCTCTCTGTATCTGCTGACACTGATCTGAATCCATAACAGCACAGGGACTGAACATTAGAGGTTGGCCGATGGAATGAGTGATGTTTTGAGTTTTCAAAAGCTTTAACCTCGTCTCATTCGGACCGATATGCAAATGGTGTTATGGTCAGGTCGGCTGAGTCCTCCCTGCGGGTCCTGGGCTGCACCAGTCCCTACTAAAATACATGATGGATCTTACTTTGAGCGCTCTGTACAGGACCTGTGGATCCTGGATGCCCGTCACCTCTCTCAGCTGGTTGATCAGAACTTCACTCTTCTACAAACAGAACAAAACAATAAGGTTTGAGATGAAGTCACAACATTCCAAAACATTGTATTTGTGTTTAAAAACGATTTGCTTTGGGAGACTGCAGCCATGGACTCTAGATACTGTAGGACCATGGCCCACACTGGTGGGTGTTGACCAGAACAGATTCACTCTGATGATGAATGTGAAGCCTTTATGTCATGTACTGTGCTGTTCTCATTCTTCAGATGAAAGTTATTCTCAGCCAAAGATAAACAAGTTTGGACGTGACTTTTCCACATTACTGAACCACAAATGAGCCAGGATTGAAATAGGGTCGGAGAGAGTTTGGGCCTTTGTGTGTGTGTGTGTGTGTACGTGTGTGTGTGTGTGTGTGTGTGTGTGTGTGTGTGTGTGTGTGTGTGTGTGTGTATTTTACATTATTTTGAGAATAACTAAATAAATGACATGAAAATCACTGAATGAAAGACTCACACAAACTAGTGCTAACTATTTGCTCAGACGATAGTTTTATGCAGATGTTGCAATCACATTGAAACTACTTTGCAGGAACCATTTTAGTCTTTATCATTAAAAGTCATAATTCTAAAGTCTGTTTTTTTCAGATTAACAAATAATTAGCCATGAAGTGATTAAGTTGGTTCATGTTGTATTGTATCACAAGAAACAATCTTTTAGAACTATTTCAACTTTAATACATTTCTAGTGACCACTTTAACATAGTTACTGCCCTGAGGATCCCGTCCGTGCACAGAGCAGGATTCACCGAAGCCCTCGCCTCAGCACGGTTTACGGATCTAATAGTGACAATATTGAAAACCACAATCTCACAAAAACAATGCACTTTTAAAACCTTGAGTTTATCTAAACCAGGGATGGTAAAATACAGAAGGACTGAACAGATTGTTTGAAGGCCCTGATGTGAAGATGAAAAACCAACTTTTTTCTTTATAAATAATAATAGTAACATGTAAAAAAAATGTCAAATCCATCCATACATCTTCTTCCCCTTAATGCATTTCTGGGTTGGGGGGGTGGCAGTCAGAGCTGCACCCAGTCCACAGAGCACCAGCCCCTCACTGATCCTCCTGCAGGTGCTGAGTCCACAGGAGCTGAGAGCTTTCAGTGGGGGCTTCAGGCAAAGTGGGGTAAAGTGTCTTGCCCAAGGACACAACGACAGCAGTCATCAGTGGGAGTCGTGAAGTAGGTCTTGTGGTGGGCTCAAACCCATGACCTTCAGGCTCTAAGGCCAATGCTCTACCAACTGAGCCACTGTCGCAAAACTTTTGTTTACACTGACAAAAGTAAAATGTTGTGAACAAATCAGAGCATGTTCAACTTGTTAGACATTTGGAAGAAAGTGTGCAGCCAATCAGCTCTCAGCCCAAAGCTGAGTGAGGCGGTGCTGCTCATTTCACTTTTCTGTCTGAAAAGGAAAATCTAAATACGACAGAGACCAAATGGATGGATTTTACACACTCCATATTGTGGTGGTTTTGAAAGTTAGGTACCTTTGCTTTAATGACCCTGGAGGTCTAACCCAAAATGAAACCAGGATCGATCAAGGACCAAGGCAAGATTAAACTACAGGGCTAAATCAGGACTGGTAATGTCATTTTATCACTATTTTAATATTATATTATTATTATATTAGAGTCTATTATGTCACTAGTTTTAATATTCACGTATGTTTAACCTCTTTCACATATTTAGATCGAAAAAGAGATGCCCAGCCTCAGTCAGCTCACTTTCAATCGGGAAACAACACGTGTTACGTAACAAAATAGTTAGGTACCCCAGCTTTAAGTTTAATACTCTTGAATATAAACCGACTCCGACCAAACCAACACTTACAAACAACAGATTTAGAACAAGGAGCTTTTCCCCACACGCTGTAAACAGAATATCTATGTCCACCTCTTCTGTGTAAATAAAATCATACTGGGTTAGCTTCTATATAAAGCAGCAGCAGCAGGTGGGTCATTGGTCCACTCTGGCCCCTCACAGAGGCACTGGACACCAGGCTTATATGGCGAGGGCGGGGGGCTATCTGAGACCCCCTCTTGGATAGCCGCTATTTTGGTGGGCTGACATGGCCACGCAGGCTTCTGTTTATCATTCCTCTCAGCGCGCCTCCTGTCTGACTGACACAGACACCCGCAGGCTCTGAGGCTTCTCTGCAACAAGCAAATGTGAATGGAACGAACAGCAAGAGATCAGTAACGACAGGTTTTGTCACAACACGAACGACAGTCGCATGAATAGATAGAAGTTTTTCTCTGGTTATTCTTTGTTTTTGAGAGAATGGACTCGCACAACCAGAGTAAAGGCTTGAAAGTAGTGTGAATATATGATTAAGAAATTGACAGTATCCTGGAAACTGAAATAATATAGATGTCTTCCTTCTGGTTCATTTGCCAGTGATACAATAGGGACCATGTTATGTCATATAGCAATACCTTATAATTTGCATATCTTGAGGTATACATTTGCATTAAAGCTTTATAGGATGAAAAACGGACTAACTGCACAGAAGTTGGACTGTAAAAAATATTAAAAGCTTATGATGTTCCATTCAAAACACTAAAATAGCATAGCATGAAAAGTAGAGACTGCACTAGTGACTCAAAAGATCTAAGTGTGAGTTTTATACCGATGACCTCTAGAATTTTTGTTGCGGCTACTTCTAACAGACCATTTATTATTTTACATATTTAGGCATTAATCATATAAGCATGTATATTTTCAAATGAGTAAAAATGAATGATTTAACTTTAAGATTGTTTTAAAAAATCTAAATAGACGTAAATATGTTGGGGCTCTGTTTGAAACGGGAGACTGTGACCGTCTCTGGTGTAAATAAAGTTATATTGATGTTAACATGCTGCTGAAAGTCATCCTCACAGCAGATCTGCGGCTCACACACAGGTTAGTTATCGTGAGTTTAGTTAGTTTTGTGTTAATGTTAGTATGTTTTCACACACCATCCTCAGACTCTCACCGAGTTGCTGGAGTTGTCCTCATTACTTTCTGCCAGTTCCGCTCCCATCGCGGCCCCTGGGTCCAGTATCCTTGACTTAGAAGTGTTAGGCCCGTGTTCAGAGTCCCCGCCGTCAGTGAGACGCTTCAATCGGCCTGTGCTGCTCACACAGTCACATCAGCGCTGGTCACTCACTCTTCTCTCCCTGACGCGTCTCTCCGCGACGCTCCGCTCCGCGACGCGACGCGACGCGCTCACGTGAGGGGCGCGCGAGTAAGTACTGAGTTTTGTTTTAAGTCATTGATATTCATGTTGGTACATATGTGGAGGTAAATATTTATTTAATCAAATACATGTACTTTTGTATAGCTCTATATTACAGCAGCAGTAGGAGGACTCAAAGTTGTTGATTCGCCAATATAGATCAGAGAAGAAAAACAGTTGGAATAGAGAAATGCAAACCCGTAGGAGCCATTGGCCCATAGGGAGCAGGAATGACCAATCCTTAAATGATTACAAATGTCCTTAAAAGTGCAGGATTATCACTGTCCTCAGATTGTCCTGCATCAGTAATTCATGAATCTTTGGCCTTTTAGCATAAATCTGAGAGTAATGCAAACATATTACATGCTTAAGCATCGGACACGTTGTAAGAATAATTTGATAGATCTATGTGTCAGTGATTGGCAGCCACAAGTTTATCATGTAGTTGTTATTTTGGTAGTTTATTGTGGAAAAGCAGTATGCAACACCTTTGCAGCGTGTATATGTACATAATATAAGTGCTCCAGACTCTTCCTGATGGAGCAGCAGAGAATCTGTGAAAGGATTTGGTTTTATTTTCACATATTTAGAGTTATTAATTGTTCATTTAATACTAATATCAAATAGGCATCTTTGGTTCCAACTTGGAGATTTTTACCATAAACAAATACCATATTTATTGTATTTGTTTTGTTCCATCCATCTCCTTCCCCTTTATCCATTTCTGGGTCGGGGGTCGCAGTCATAGCCCCTCACTGATCCTCTGCAGGTGGTGAGTCCACATGAACTGAGATCTTCCAGCGGGGGCTTCAGGCAAAGTGGGGTTAAGTGTCTTGCCCAAGGACACAACGACAGCAGACATAAGTGGGAGTCATGAAGTAGGTCCCGTGGTGGGCTCGAACCCACGACCTTCAGGCTCAAAGGCCAATACTCTACCAACTGAGCTACTGTTGCCCCTGTTTTGTGTTGATATCATTTAAATATTGAAGACAGGACATTAGTGAGGGGTCAACTCCCTCATTTTAAAGTATTAATGAAATATTATTGCTAAAGTAAACTAATAATTTTCTTTGCACGTTCATTTATAAATATCATGATTAAAAACTTTTCAGACTGTGATCGACATCATTGAAGTAATCCCTCATTGAGTTTCCTGAGTGGTCTCTATCACAGCATATCGTTTTACCACCGCTGGAAAATCAATGAGCGCAAACACCGTCACCGTCCTGTCTCTGCACGCCGTCTATTCTTCTGGGCCTGTCTCTGCACGCCGTCTCTTCTTCTGGGCCTGTCTCTGCACGCCGTCTCTTCTTCTGGGCCTGTCTCTGCACGCCATCTCTTCTTCTGGGTCTGTCTCTGCACGCCATCTCTTCTTCTGGGCCTGTCTCTGCACGCCATCTCTTCTTCTAGGATGGTCAGAGACATCCCAGAAGACAAATATATCAGAGGATTTTGGATATGAATGTTTAACAGTAGGATGGAGCGGTCTATGGTTTGGCTGCTGCTGGCTCTTCACGGCGCAGGTAAGCACATTCTCCATGACATATTAGTGCCTTAGAGAGCACATTTTATACACAGGACCCACATTAATTTAACACCGCTTGATATTTATGTGCTATATGATTAAATACACAAATGAATCACTTACTTCACAGTCATTTATTTATTTAGTTTCTGCGGAGAATGGGAAAAATTCAAACAAGACAATATTTTTAACATCATTTAAGCAATTCTCAAGATCAGGGTGATTTAACTTAATTTAGTTCATTCATTTGCCATTTGCAGTAAAAAAAAAAAAGTTGAAGTTATAAGTAATGGAATGAATCTGTTCACATAACCACATTTCTTGCGTCTCAAAGAACAAATACTTGTTGCTGCTGATGGAACGACTGTTTGTCTGAAATGTTCTCTTAAACTCTACGGAGAAGTTACTGGTTTGAGGATAGGCGAGATTTATCAACAAAGTTTAGCCCAAAATTGGAACAAGGCAATTAAAGAGTAGCCTCCGAGTAATCTTAATCTTCTGTCCTGCTTCTGAGTCTGAAAAGATCAAGCTTTCATTTGGCACTGTCTACATCGCATCAAACACGTGGATTTTATGGTGTTATTGACGAGGTTTTGAAAATAGGGAGTAGATAGGCGGGGGCGACAGTAGGCAGTGCATTGGTCTTCGAACCTGGTGGTCGTGGGTTCGATTTCCCGCCCTCCTGCTCCCACTGACGTCTGCTGTCATTGTGTCCCTGGTTTAAAACACGTAACCCCACTTTACCTGAAGCCCCCCTGAAAGATCAAGGCTGTGTCTATGGTGCTATGAAGATGGGGTGGCAGCTTGGAAATGGTATGGGACACAAAGTAATTAAAAAACTAGCACACACTGTTTGTAAAAAATCCAATGATATAATAACTATCTCAGTATATTTTGTTTATATTTTGGACATTTTCAAGCATCGTCGTCATTATTTGGCTAACAAAAGACCTCATATTTTTTACTGTGTACGATGTGTCCTCAATCCAACATTTTGATAAATCTGGTGGGATATACAGTAAAACAGCAGGTTGTGTGAGTGGGAATTGTCCGACATAAAAATGAATCCCAGGATCACTGTGTGTCTTCTCCCAGTCCAGGTCTCTGACTGCGTGCCTGAAAAACCAAAGCGTTCGGCCCTGAACCAGCTGACTCGATCCCTGCTCAGAAACTACAACAATGGCGTCCGGCCGGTTTACAACTGGACTACAACGACCACGGTTTCCATCGACCTGATTCTGCAGTCAGTCCTGGATGTGGTACGCCAACGACCCCTTCGTTCAGCCGTCTGGTTTTGATGCTACTCGGGGATAATTATAGATTCAAACGCAACACTTGTTTGTGGAATGTCTGAAGCGATAAGATGTTGGGAATGGAGCTCCAGGCTGGACAATGCTTTACATGGTCTCCTCAGCCGTGTGTGTGTGTGTGTGTGTGAAATGTGTGTAGACAGGTTTGAAATAAAAAATAAATTTTGAAATCTCAGTTGGACGACACTGCAGAGAAGGACAGCAATGATACAAAGGGGTCTAAAAGAGTCATTTTGTTGCCAGATCAAGAGGACTCCAGCTGCTGAAGTGTCGCTAGAAACAGAACAAACTCTGTGTGTTATCGTTTATTTAGTATTATTTTTCATTATAAAAGGAAAAGAGCCAAGACCAGCTAAAATTCACCTAAAAAAAACTGTCAACAGAAAAGAGGACCTCATTCTGCTGTCTGAAACATTTTACAGTGAAGTTACATCATGTCCAATGTATTTTTAATTAAAGATAAACACAAGTTCAGAAAAGGTCAGATACTGTCCCTTTAAGGTCAATAAAAGACAGAAATACAAAAATAGTTACTTATGGATGTTACCTTCTCAAATTAATTGCTTAAAAAATATAATGTAATAATATTAATTTGTTTTATTGACTCAAAAAAAAAAAGAAATCAATATCATTTTTGAAGTTGAAGCCAAACTGAAAAAAAAACAATAAATTAACCAAATGTTTTCACTAATCAGGTTTTTCAGATGCTGCTTTGGTTCAGTGTGAATTCTGCTTCTAAAAATAGATAAAATGATGTAAAGTACAATTCTGACATTATTAAAGTTGTTGAAATCAAAGCATCGCTGCTTTTCACTTGTTTATGTTTTTACTGTGTTTTTACAGGATGGAAAAACCCAAACGATGACGACCAGTATCTGGTACCGACAGGTAAAAACTGAACTGAACTGAACTGAACTGAACTGAACTGAACTGAACAACTGAACTGAACAACTGAACTGAACTGAACTGAACAACTGAACTGAACTGAACTGAACTGAACAACTGAACTGAACTGAACTGAACTGAACTGAACTGAATGAACAACTGAACTGAACTGAACTGAACTGAACTGAACAACTGAACTGAACTGAACAACTGAACTGAACTGAACTGAACTGAACTGAACTGAACAACTGAACTGAACTGAACTGAACTGAACTGAACTGAACTGAACTGAACAACTGAACTGAACTGAACTGAACTGAACTGAACTGAACAACTGAACTGAACTGAACAACTGAACTGAACAACTGAACTGAACTGAACTGAACAACTGAACTGAACTGAACAACTGAACTGAACTGAACTGAACTGAACAACTGAACTGAACTGAACTGAACTGAACTGAACTGAACTGAACTGAACTGAACTGAACAACTGAACTGAACAACTGAACTGAACTGAACAACTGAACTGAACTGAACTGAACAACTGAACTGAACTGAACAACTGAACAACTGAACTGAACTGAACTGAACTGAACTGAACAACTGAACTGAACTGAACTGAACTGAACTGAACTGAACTGAACAACTGAACTGAACTGAACTGAACTGAACAACTGAACTGAACTGAACTGAACAACTGAACTGAACTGAACAACTGCACTGAACTGAACAACTGAACAACTGAACTGAACTGAACTGAACTGAACTGAACTGAACTGAACTGAACAACTGAACTGAACTGAACTGAACTGAACTGAACTGAACTGAACAACTGAACTGAACTGAACTGAACTGAACTGAACAACTGAACTGAACTGAACTGAACAACTGAACTGAACTGAACAACTGAACTGAACTGAACTGAACAACTGAACTGAACAACTGAACTGAACTGAACTGAACTGAACTGAACAACTGAACTGAACTGAACAACTGAACTGAACTGAACAACTGAACTGAACAACTGAACTGAACTGAACTGAACTGAACAACTGAACTGAACTGAACAACTGAACTGAACTGAACAACTGAATTGAACTGAACTGAACAACTGAACTGAACTGAACTGAACTGAACTGAACTGAACTGAACAACTGAACTGAACTGAACAACTGAACTGAACTGAACTGAACTGAACTGAACAACTGAACAACTGAACTGAACTGAACTGAACTGAACAACTGAACTGAACTGAACTGAACAACTGAACTGAACAACTGAACTGAACTGAACAACTGAACTGAACTGAACTTAACTGAACTGAACAACTGAACTGAACTGAACAACTGAACTGAACTGAACTGAACTGAACAACTGAACTGAACTGAACAACTGAACTGAACTGAACTGAACTGAACTGAACTGAACAACTGAACTGAACAACTGAACTGAACTGAACAACTGAACTGAACTGAACTGAACAACTGAACTGAACTGAACAACTGAACAACTGAACTGAACTGAACTGAACTGAACTGAACAACTGAACTGAACTGAACTGAACTGAACTGAACTGAACTGAACAACTGAACTGAACTGAACTGAACAACTGAACTGAACTGAACAACTGCACTGAACTGAACAACTGAACAACTGAACTGAACTGAACTGAACTGAACAACTGAACTGAACTGAACAACTCAACTGAACTGAACAACTGAACTGAACTGAACTGAACTGAACTGAACTGAACTGAACTGAACTGAACAACTGAACTGAACTGAACTGAACTGAACTGAACAACTGAACTGAACTGAACTGAACAACTGAACTGAACTGAACAACTGAACTGAACTGAACTGAACTGAACAACTGAACTGAACAACTGAACTGAACTGAACTGAACTGAACTGAACAACTGAACTGAACTGAACTGAACAACTGAACTGAACTGAACAACTGAACTGAACTGAACAACTGAACTGAACAACTGAACTGAACTGAACTGAACTGAACAACTGAACTGAACTGAACAACTGAACTGAACTGAACAACTGAACTGAACTGAACTGAACAACTGAACTGAACTGAACTGAACTGAACTGAACAACTGAACTGAACTGAACAACTGAACTGAACTGAACTGAACAACTGAACAACTGAACAACTGAACTGAACTGAACTGAACTGAACAACTGAACTGAACTGAACTGAACAACTGAACTGAACGGAACTGAACTGAACAACTGAACTGAACTGAACTGAACTGAACAACTGAACTGAACTGAACTGAACAACTGAACTGAACTGAACTGAACTGAACTGAACTGAACTGAACAACTGAACAACTGAACTGAACTGAACAACTGAACTGAACTGAACAACTGAACTGAACTGAACTGAACTGAACAACTGAACTGAACTGAACTGAACTGAACAACTGAACTGAACTGAACAACTGAACTGAACTGAACTTAACTGAACTGAACAACTGAACTGAACTGAACTGAACTGAACAACTGAACTGAACTGAACAACTGAACTGAACTGAACTGAACTGAACTGAACTGAACAACTGAACTGAACTGAACTGAACAACTGAACTGAACTGAACAACTCAACTGAACTGAACTGAACTGAACAACTGAACTGAACTGAACTGAACTGAACTGAACAACTGAACTGAACTGAACAACTGAACTGAACTGAACTGAACAACTGAACAACTGAACAACTGAACTGAACAACTGAACTGAACTGAACAACTGAACTGAACTGAACTGAACTGAACAACTGAACTGAACTGAACTGAACTGAACAACTGAACAACTGAACTGAACTGAACTGAACTGAACTGAACAACTGAACTGAACTGAACTGAACTGAACTGAACTGAACAACTGAACTGAACTGAACTGAACTGAACAACTGAACTGAACTGAACAACTGAACTGAACTGAACTGAACTGAACTGAACAACTGAACTGAACTGAACTGAACAACTGAACTGAACTGAACTGAACAACTGAACTGAACTGAACAACTGAACTGAACTGAACTGAACAACTGAACTGAACTGAACTGAACTGAACTGAACAACTGAACTGAACTGAACTGTGTGAGGCTTTTTATCACAAAAACAGGGAGATTTTTGTCATTTGTCAAAGAACGCATAGTCTGCTTTACCCCCTGATTCAACTCAATGCAATTTATTCTTGTGTTGCTCGAAATCACAACAGTAGTTTTCTTGGAGGACTTTACAAAACCGTCAAATTGTCCAACACAGATCAGAGAATCAAACAGCTCAAACACAAGAAATGCAATGATTAAAAACTAGGGTGGTCCTCACAGAGGGGTACATTTTCAAATTCATAATATTTCAGCTCTAAACCCTTAAATGTGTTGGAATGGCTGGAACTTTTTCCCCAATTCCAACATTTAGCCATCCATCAATGAAACTAAAGTTAAGACTTATTTTGTCACTATCGCTTACAAGGCAAAAACATCAAACTATGCTGAAGTTTAAAGTGCCTCTCTTTTATCAAATGATCTCAGATTTCTCCTTGGGGATACTTGGTATTATCTCTCAGCTCATCCCTCTCAGGATGAAGGGGTCACAGTAGTGTTAGCTATGCTGTGACTGGGGTCTGGCTGAGCGTATCGGGGGGATGGCGGTTGACCAATGGATTTTTTATCCTGATGAGCAGCTCCAGAAAGTTCTCTTGTATTTTGCAGCCATCATGTCCTCGAGCTGCTTTCCGCTGTGGCTTACACAACGGTCAGGGTCCGAACATGCCACTGTTTAAGCCCTTCCAAGATCGCTGGCAACACATTGACCAGAGACAGTTCGAGTCTATGATGGCCGCCCTCTCCATCCGGCCTGGACTTAGCCAAGGCAGCCCTGAACAAACAGCAGATTTAAATTGCTTGATATCAGTTCTGATGTTAAACTTAAATTCTATTCCGATTTTTATAGTTATATGTTGTATTTATTTTCAGAAAATGAGCGCCCCAAGGGAAATATTTTAAGGTTGAGACAAAAGTTCATGAGGAGAGTTTTCTCAGTTTTTTTCTCATATCAAGGGTTGGAGCTCAGAATGACCAACTTTCTTTTTTAAGGACCACCCTATTAAAAAACACACAGAGCCATTTTCCTCTAGAAAGGTCACATAATACTAAGTTTCATACATAGTCGCCACACTCCATCTGCTTTCTCCCTCAGACGTGGACGGATGAGTTCCTGGTGTGGGATCCTCACGACTTTGACGGCATTACAGAAATCTCGCTCTCATCCGACGCCATTTGGGTTCCCGATGTCATCGTTACAGAATTGTGAGTCTACTTGTGTGTTTTACAGAATATTTTCTTCATATTACAGAACAAATAGATCTCTGGTGTGTACTGTCTGCTCTGTCTGGTGCACACTGGGCTGGTCTCGCACAGTTTTTCCAATGTGGTTTTACTGCAAATGGCAAATAAATCTTGAATCTTGAAAGGAAGTATGAAGCAGGATTACAGACATGGAAAGTCTGCTATTGTAGACAAATCAGACCACAACATGCAGTATTTATCTTATTAGGAAACATGTTTTCTTTCAATTCAATTCTTTTTATTTTTGTACAGCCTTAAATCCCAATCTCGACGGACTTTAAAAGCTGTAAATTTGCCAAATCAGATCTGAGAATCAAGAGGGAGAGATCCGCTCCCACAGATGGACGGGCTGTAGATCCAGTGCTCAGACTGTAGAATGAGGACCCAGGCCACAAGATGCACACTGAGGCTATTTTACATAATATTCTAATTTGCACATACACTTGCCTTACCCCATGGCTAAAATACTCAACATGTTCAGTAGTGCTAAATAATTCCATTAAGATGTTGTGTTGTCCGCAGTGTGGACGACGGGAAGTCTCCTCACATCCCCTACGTCTACGTGGATTCTTCAGGTCTGGTGAAGAACTACCGTCCCATGCAGGTGGTCCTGGCCTGCGCCCTGGACATGTACGCCTTCCCCTTCGACAAACAGAACTGCAGCCTGACCTTCCGCAGCTGGCTCCACTCAGGTCCGTACACACCATCCGTCCAGAATCAGCGGAAACTAGAGATTAGGAGATATATCAGAAGATAAATCCAAGCTATAACATTCGATTTGGGTAATATGTAATAAAATGCATCTAACTAGTTCCTCGCTCTCAAAACAGTTTGGTTTTATCCTTTGTTTTTTATGCATTTTCGGATCACCCTCATTCACTTTTCAGCTCTTAGCTTTTAGTAAAAGAACTACAGCAAAATAAATACATAATAAAGTTTGTCTCTCTGCAGCCTGAGAGAGAATAATAAATAAATAATAAATACTTTTTTGTTAAGAAATCAAATAATTTTCTGTCCACAGAGCTCTATTACGTTTACACACTATTAGGCCATAAAATACTCTATTTTGTTTGTATTTTTTTTACATGCTTAATTTCTACAGAAGCAATGATCTTGTGTGTGTGTGTCTCTGTCTGTGTGTGTGTGTCTGTGTCTCTGTCTGTGTGTGTGTGTGTGTCTGTGTCTCTGTCTGTGTGTGTGTGTGTCTGTGTCTCTGTCTGTGTGTGTGTGTCTGTCTCTGTCTGTGTGTGTGTGTGTGTCTGTCTGTCTCTGTCTGTGTGTGTGTTTGTATGTGTGAGTGTGTGTCTGTCTCTGTCTGTGTGTGTGTGTGTCTGTCTGTGTGTGTGTCTGTCTCTGTCTGTGTGTGTGTGTGTCTGTCTCTGTCTTTGTGTGTGTCTGTCTCTCTCTGTGTGTGTGTGTTTGTGTGTGTGTGTGTCTGTCTCTGTCTGTGTGTGTGTGTCTGTCTCTGTGTGTGTGTTTGTGTGTGTGTGTGTGTGTGTCTGTGTGTGTGTGTGTGTGTGTGTTTGTGTGTGTGAGTGTGTGTCTGTCTCTGTCTGTGTGTGTGTGTGTCTGTCTCTGTCTTTGTGTGTGTCTGTCTCTGTCTGTGTGTGTGTCTGTCTGTGTGTGTGTCTGTCTCTTGTCTGTGTGTGTGTCTGTGTGTGTGTGTCTGTCTGTGTGTGTGTGTGTGTCTGTCTCTGTCTGTGTGTGTGTGTGTCTGTCTCTGTCTGTCTGTGTGTGTGTGTGTCTGTGTGTGTGTGTCTGTCTCTGTGTGTGTGTGTGTCTGTCTCTGTGTGTGTGTGTGTGTGTGTGTCTGTGTGTGTGTGTCTGTCTCTGTCTGTGTGTGTCTCTGTCTGTGTGTGTGTCTGTCTGTGTGTGTGTGTGTCTGTCTCTGTGTGTGTGTGTGTGTGTGTCTGTGTGTGTGTTACAGTGACGGAGATAAACCTGTGGTGGATGAGAGACGCTGAGGCCATTGCTCGGGACAAGAGCCAGTTCATGAACGACGGGGAGTGGGAGCTTCTGTCCATCCCGTCCCACTACAGGCAGCTCCACTACGGGGACAAGGAGTACGCACACATCCACTTCCACGTGAGCTCCACTGACGGACAATGTTAAAGCTAGCACAATGAACCCCAATAGGGAAGTGCTCATGGACAGAGTTTGCTCCAACTTGCTGTAGCTCCTATTGACTTACATAACTCCTCTAGCTCAGTAACCGCATGTCACACACAACATTTTTGGCTTAAAAATATCTGGTTTGGTGGTGTCTGCGATCCGGGAGTTTATATTGTGATATTGTCTTTCCCGTCAGAACAAATGGCCATATAAGGAAATTGGCTCCAGCTATCTTATGTTCAAATTGGCTTCTACCGCTTTCAGCAAATACTATGGGTGACATCAGCCCTCCGTTAGTCTACTGCTTATATACGACCTCTGGTGTGCACAGGCTTGTGAGGAGCTGCTGTTCACTCAAAATACATCAAAACCACAAAGTCTCAGTGACTTGTGTAGTCTCTGTGTAAACACTTGTGTATCAGCGCTACAGCAGTGACTCTCGATAAACATCATGTCTGACATCTCTGCAATCACACGGTCAGCATCGTGAGGTGACAATTGCAGCTCATAACCACCTCACACTGTCAGACACACAATTAAAGGAGCAAAAATCTGGCCAAAAGTGGTATTGCAACTATAGACTGTATATATTAACGGAAGTAGTCACGCCTATCTCCGCCGTTCTAACTAATGAGCCAAAAATTGGGCTTTCATGAACTTTTGGACCATCCTGTAAAGGTGTTTGAAAGGTAAGAAGATGCTACATGGGGGGTGGACCCGGAAGAATAGCATTGGCAGACCTCTGGAAAACGTCTTTACAGGATGGTCCAAAAGTCGCTCTTGGCCCAAAGCTCCGTTCCACATGTGTGTCAATGCTGAGTGTTCTGGACCAGCCTAGTTTAGTCGCTGTGAATTTTTGAAGTATCTCGTTTAAGTGGATGGAGCTGCGCCGGCTGACGCTTGCGCAGATGCGTTTTTTCACAATTTTCTTTAAATACATGGTACTTTACCAGTGAGATTAGCTGGACATGGTGAGTTCTGGCGCCCGGATCACAGACTTTCTTATTGGTGAAACGGTGGAGGGCGGGACATCGAAATTAAAACAATAACA